TATATATATATAAAAAAATCACTCTCAGATGGCCTTTCTAAAACTTTAGTCCTATTAATTAGTTAGAAGTAGGATATATTCACTTTAACATGCACATTGTGGAAACTCGATTGAATTAACGGTTATACATTTTCCCGTACGCATTTGTAACAACTCACCAGGGATTTATATTTCAAATACAGGAATGTATATCAACGGATTAATAAACTTTTATAACACAAATTTACACTTAATTCTCAAAAAATATACATTCATCTTTCCTGCACTAAATGCAGTATTTGTATGACCACGTTTTCTCCATTACTAGCATGTAAAAGGTGCATTACCGCCACCTACTGATCTGGAGTGTGGAGTGTGCATAAATTTGGAAGAAATAAATACAGAAGGGAAAAGAGAGAGAAAAAAATATATAATAATAATAATTAAGTAAACCCCCCCCCCAACCACAAATAAAAAGACAAAAAAAAATAATAAAAAAATAAAAAAATAAAAATAAAAAAACCCCTAGATTCTATCTATTGTTCCTATGTTTTTCAGGTATTTAAACATGCATTCTTTGTTTTTCAGGTATTTAAACACATTTTCTTGCACTCTTGATAGCCTCGACCCATTTCCTAACAATACTTTTAAAGAAATATTATCAACTCCCAGCCAACCTAATTCTTGAATTAATTGAAATCTCTCCCTTTCATATGCAGAACACTCAAAAAGAATATGTTTCACTGTTTCTAATTCTCCACATTTGTCACACTTTCCCGATTCATGCTTACCTATTTTATAAAGACTATAGTTTAATGCTGTATGTCCGATTCTTAGTCTTGATAAGATGACATCTTTCTTCCTATTTCTGTATCTTTTCCTCTCATTTCCAACACACTCCTGAATCTGGAAAAGATGTCTTCCTTTAGACCCATTATTCCATAACTGTTGCCATTTCTTACTTACTTCAAATGATATCACTCTCTTGAATTCAGCTTTACTTAAAGCTAACTTAATTTCTATTTGTGTATGATTTAATGCTTTCTTTGCTAGCAAGTCTACTTCCTCATTTCCATCCACACCCACATGTGCAGGCACCCAGAGGAATTTGACCTCTATCCTTAACTGCCTTATTCTAAACAAACTTTGTAAAACTTCAAATACTAAGTCTTGCCGAGCTTCAGATTTACCACTTAGTAGGCTAGTGAGCGCAGCCATGGAGTCAGTACATATCACAGTTCTAGCTGGTTGAACTTCTTCGATCCACTGTAGAGCTAGTATGATAGCTAATAATTCAGTAGTAAAAACTGACACATGATCTGATAATCTTTTAGCCATTTTTATTTTAAAAGTAGGAATATAAACGGCTGCTGCTGTTCTCCCAGACTCTGGCTCCTTAGACCCATCTGTAAATACCTGTAACACAGAATAATACTCAGCGTCTGTATTGTCTGAGCAGCGCGCCCCCTCCCCCAACAGGTGAACGCTCCAAAGGGAAAAGCAGTCGATCGATGATACAACGAATATTATTGCTTCCATAGAGCAAATGAGAAGAAAAGGAAGAAAGATTAATTAATTAATTTTTTCACTTACATTCTCATGCCCACCACACTAACCTGCCAAATGCGGGTAAAAATCAGCTGTGGCGGGTAACGCTGTCAAATCACTAGCCAATGTGGCGGGTTACTTTTTGTAAGTTATGTTCACTCATTAATGTCTTGGGGAAGTTCGTGCAAGCCAAATCTGTGCAGGTTTAGCGCAAATACTGAACTCATTACATTATCGAGAATATTGCAAACACCAAACAAAACACACCTACAGAGTGCACGCATCCGCATAAGTAACTACATTAACTTGGTGCACGCAGGCATTTAGAGTGCGTTCTTTCAGTGCATGAGTCAGTCTATTAATATGCATTAAGAATGATCACATAATTCAAGATAAGGGGGCAGAAAATGTATATAGTTATATAATTTCATATAGTTAATCAATATCACACGAAGAGTGCCGTTTTAAATAAAAAATCAGCATGGTTACAAATGTGATTTGTGAATTGATTTTATACAACAGTTCAATAAACAATAAGTTTTAGACACCATGCCTGCTTTTGCTCTATTTCGCCAACAAAACTAATTCCAAACACAGCCACAGCACTGTTTTGCGTGTCTGACCAACATGAGGTGTCTTGTTCCTGAATCATGAGTCAACCGTTTAAATGATTCGGATCAGCCGCAATGACTCACTTATTAACAGTGACTTGCTGCTGCCTACTGGCGGTTTTAATTGTTTTAATTTTACATCTAATGCATCTTTTCATTTTTTAAATTATTTCAAATATCAGTATTCACAATTTCATGTTTCAAATATCAAAACATTATTTATGCATCTGTAACTGCAGGTTAAAGCATTCCATGTCCCTCTAAGCTGCATTAACATGTGTAAATACATCTAAATGCCACTTCGTATGGAACTTCTGCAAAGATGAATTTTGTTGATACTGATTTCATTTGTTTAGTATCAGCCTAAATGTATTATTATTATAATTGACTGATTAAATGTAAGAATTTGTCTCAAAAGATGATGCACACTTTTAGAAAAAATTGCTTTATAAAAGGTAAAATGCACATAAAAGGTAAAAATCAATTTAAACTTATTGGAAAAGTTTAATTTCTATCACTGCTGTGAACTGACCGCACAAAATATGAAATATATCAAAAACTTTAGGAGTCAGCTGTCCACGGTAGTCCTTAAGATATCAGCACAATAACACACTCAGCAAAATATGGTCTAATTATCTTTATCGATAAAATTCCAGAAAATATTGAGATATTATTATTTGCCAATATCACACACCCCTTGTTCTGACACAAAATGATTTGCAGCGGTCGCTTTGTCAAGTTCAATGTAGACAGCCTCAAGCTGTTGGTTTATTTCTGGGGGGGGTTTTTTGTTTTTTTTTGGCTAGTAGAAGTTATGAATGGCCGGTAACTTAAAAATTTAGTAGCAAAATTGGTTGGTGAGTGAAAAAGTTCATTTCAATCCCTGCATATATATATATACTGTATATACATATAATATCTCAGAAATATTAGAAAGAGATTACTTTTCTAATTGTCTTTCTGTCAGCAAATTGTTAGATTTTTTGAGAAAGTACATTCAGATATTCAAAAGGATTCTTGTTAATCTAAATATATATATATGGAATATGGAACATGGCCCAAAAGAAATGTACAGTGATTTGGACATAAACAAATGGAACAACAATTCTGAAACAAATGCAAACATAACATTTAAACATTTAAATGCAAACATGGCAGTAATCTCTTTCATCTCATAAATATGACTAACATATTTTTAAGTGCAAGTTTTGTAGACTATCACTATACTCACCAGTTTATAGCTTACTCCAGGAATAAGGTACTTTCTTATGCTGATCCAGGACCAGCTCTACAACCAGAATCCAAAGTTTAGCATTAGAGGTAACAGAGGACTGATGAGGAACAAAGAACAAGAACACCTCTGCAATAATCAGAACCTGGTTAGCATATATTTGCCCTGAGCTCCACCTGCTGGACAGCAGGCTGCAACTGTCATTCAGAAAATTAGCATTTCATGTTCAATAGTTCTTTCAGGATCTGAAATGCTTGTGAATTCTGAGTTGGAAAATAGTATTAATGTCAGAATAATATCAGATCGGAATCTTCCAATAATTATTATAATCACTTGCTTTCTTTGTGTTTCAAAATCATCTTTTTAATCCTAATCTGGTATGTAAAGATGTGTAGTACTTGTAACACTGGCATCTGCAAGTAAATAAACCAAACTTTATCCAGAAAAATGTGCATTTCTTTTCAGATACTCTTCTTTGTATCAAGACTGTGATGAAGAATAGCAATAAAGATGGTTAGAAAACACTTTTAATCTGGCATGTGAGACAGACCTGTCTGTAAAACCAAATTTCTTTCCTCATCATTCTTTTGTGAATGATATTACACATTTAATCCTAATCTGGTATGTAAAGATGTGTAGTACTTGTAACACTGGCATCTGCAAGTAAATAAACCAAACTTTATCCAGAAAAATGTGCATTTCTTTTCAGATACTCTTCTTTGTATCAAGACTGTGAAGAATAGCAATAAAGATGGTTAGAAAACACTTTTAATCTGGCATGTGAGACAGACCTGTCTGTAAAACCAAATTTCTTTCCTCATCATTCTTTTGTGAATGATATTACACATAAAAAAAAACTCATTCTTCTAAACAGCATTTATGTGTAATAATACCCCCCCACACACACACACACTGTCCACAACAATATTCGAAGGCCCTTATGACTATTCCAGTTTGTGATTTACTCAATAATGATAAAAAATATTTTTACTCACAATTTCTAACAGATACAATTTAGATCTTGACATAACTAGGAACAAATTATCGAATATTTATATAATAAAAATATATAATAAAAATACAGATTCTGTTAATTTTCATGACTTTTCCAAGTCTAGTCTGTATTATTAGGCTACCTCATGTAGGCTATCCAATTTTTTTAGGAACTTGGTTCTTCAAAGAAAAAAAAACATTTGTTGTAAGGGTGAATTAAAATAAACATCTTGATTTTTTTGTTGTTTTATCTTATGTTATTACTTGTTTTGTCTTTTAAATCTTTTTATTATTTATTTTATTATTATTTTAAATCATTTTAAGTCATCTTAAGGCCCCCTTAGAAATTTTCTGAGGAGTGTTGAGAAGTGAACATCGCACCGAAATCACTGGAATTCTTGTATATGAACTTTACAGTAGAACTTCTTAAAGGCACAGTAGACCAAAGAAACGTTTAATTCCATTGGTCAATGAAAGCGTGGGAAATGGTGATAGAAAACGAAATATGGCTATAAGAAAAAACTTTACTAACATTATAAGTGGACCTCGGGGTCAAAAATTAAAATACAAAAATGTATGATATGACCCCTTTAACCCAGGCTGTGTCACGTGACCCAACATCTCGATGAGAGCAGCCAGAAAATGGCGGATATTGAGGAGTTACGGGTAGGCGAAAGTGCAATGATAGCTGGCTACTTCTTTGCGACTTTCACATTTTAAAAAACATTTTGCAGTTACCGTTTGTTACTCCATTTTGCCTGTCGGTTTGCTACCCATGGGTTTGATTTTTTAAATAGTTAATACTAAAACGTCCCATCACTCCGTTAGACGGATTGTGTTTAGCCTGTTAGCCACCAACCAGCTACTCTTTTAGCTCACGATCTGCTACACAAACATGTCACTGCTTTTACTGCCATCTTTTACTGCATGAAAACGCTTTATTATAATGCCTAACTGAACTGACGACTGTTCGCTGCAGGTAAAAAGATTTTACGTTTCAATTTCTTCACTGCTCGAATTGTTTTGGCTGATCTTTTGTTAGCTAGCGTCAGACAGCGATGGACAATGTCTATATGTACCCACAGATGTAGTTTGATTTATAACTTGTGTTTGCAAGGATAAACGATATATAGACCAGTGTGCATGTGAGTGTAAATATAAGTCAACATTTAATACTAAAATGGCAAGTAAACATTAAAGGGTAACACCTTAAAAATGTTGTTTACAAGCCAGCAAGTGGGTCGCCAGCAAACACGACGAATGTGGCCTTGTCACTGTGAGTGTTTTCTCCCTCACATTTGTCTCAAGATAACAGCTTTGACTAACTTAGTGCATAGATCATCTTTCTAAAGTTTAATCGAATGCATTGCAGTTCAGCATCAGCAGCTATACAATCACTAATAAATAGCCCGTGTGTTAGACACAGGAAAGCTTTTGTGTGCTGTTATACTTGCCGTTGTATGACTGATTTATGTTGTCTTGTAAAGTGTTCAGAATGATCCTTCTTAACTGTAAATTAAGCTTTTTCCCCCAGCAGTTCAGTTCATTTCTCTCTGGATCAAAGTGAACATCTGTGTTTTGTTATTCTCTTGATGTTCATCTAATTGGTCTTGGAATTATTCTCAACATTTTAGATGCATTTCGGTCATTTGTTAAGGATTTTTAAAGAAAAAAGGATTAACACGTAAGAACAATCAAGCATGGACCATGTAATGAAGGGTCAGTTGAGATTTTCTTATTTCTCTGGGGTTTCTGGAATGGGTGTATTTGGGTGGGTTGTCACCTCACTTCACGCATAATTATTTATTAATTAAGCTGCTTTCAAATGACACCTTTTGGTTATTTAAAAATCTGTTGTAACCATAATCCACCAGCTTATGCCATGTTGATTATTAATGCACAGATTTTTATGTTTTTGGAAATTCTTATATTAAATGTAAAGCTTGTCAGCATGGCATAGAGGGTGGTTTCTCTTACTAACTTGTGTTGCAAAAATGTTCATTTGCATTTCATGTTTGGTATGGCAAAGTGTTTATTGCTTGTCTGGATTTGTTTTTTTTTTCAGAATATGGTATCAAGTTTCCGTGTCTCAGAGCTCCAGGTACTGTTAGGTTTTGCTGGAAGGAATAAGAGCGGTCGAAAGCATGAACTTCTGCTGAGGGCTTTGCATTTACTCAGGAGTGGTTGTAGTCCTGCTGTGCAGATCAAAATAAAGGAACTGTATTGTCGGAGATACCCACGGACATTTGATGGTCTTCAGGATTTGGTGGCTCTGAAGTCAAGCATTAAATCCTACTTTCAAATAGACAGCGGTGCCACAGTTGTGAGCTCAGATCTTCCTCTGCAAACTGGCCATTCAGACCTCCTGCAGCAGCACCTGGTGAGCTGCGATTCACCTGTGTTTCATGAATCGAAGCCCATGATGAATATGCAGCAGGCCACACCACTTATGGCCCCCGTCCACCCGGACGTGCAGATGAAGTCCCAACCATTTTACGATGTGCTGGATATCTTGATCAAACCGTCAAGCTTAGGTAATTTTATAAGAAATGTTTGGATTTTTCCATGCTTGGTGAAATAGAAAAAAAAATGAAGCTTTTATTTTACAAAAGTTTTTATTTTTATTTTTTTTAATTAGGCTAAGATTTTTATTCAGCAAGCCTGCATTAAATGATCAAAAGTTCTCAGTAAAGACATTTAGAATGTTATGAAAGTTTGCGATTTGAAATAAATGCTGTTCTTTATCTTTAAATTCTTCAAAAAGATTCCTGAACAAAAAAAAGCTTCGTGTTTTACACAAAAATATTAAGCAACACAGCTCTTTTCAACATTGAGAATAATAAGAAATGTTTCTTGTGCACCAAATCAACATATCGGAATGATTTCCAAAGGATCATGTGACATTGAAGACTAGAGTAATGCCTGCTGAAAATTTGGCTTTGTCACATTTTAAAATATATTAAAATAGAAAACGGAACCGAAAAAAAGTTATTTAAAAGTTATATTTCACATCATTACTATTTTTATTGTATTTTTGATCAGTACAGTCTTAGTGAGATTAGGAGACTGCTTTCAAAAACTTTTTTTTTTTTTAAATCGAACCCAAACTTTTGAACGATAGTGTATGTGAACCAGTCGCTACCCCAACAGCTGGGTTGTACATAATTTCCTGTTGGCATGTGTCTCCAGTTTAAAACTATACACCCCTTTTGACGGGTTTGTGTTTTAAAGGGACCCATGCTGGTCAGAGGTTTCATCATGAAAAGTACTTCATATTTGCTTTGACTCCACAACAAGTGAGAGAAGTTTGCATTTCACGGTAAGAACTAAATGACTTTAATGCGACTTAGCTAATGTAACTTGTCTCTTTATCCTTGTATGATTTGGTTCTTTGTTTTTGTTACACTTTTGCATAGGGACTTTCTTCCGGGTGGAAGAAGGGACTACATGGTTCAAATTCAACTGCGGTAAGCGCCAACTCAGTGTGTTGCTTTTACAATACTGTCATTGTTTATCCAGTTCAGCTGCATGTACAGAGATGTTGTCACCATAATTCCAATTTTAGACTAAAGGTTATGTTTTGTTTTGATTCTAGGTTTTGTCTAGCAGAGACCAGCTGTCCACAAGAGGACAATTATCCAAACAGCCTCTGCATCAAAGTCAATGGGAAGCTCTTTCCCCTCCCTGTACGTAGTCCTGTTGTAATTAACCTTCATTAAGCCCACGTTTAATGTGTTTTTTCCCAACCCAAATACTTCTTATAAGATATATATAACTTGTTAGAACAACGCAGTCCTGTTATTAGGCTAATTTACAGTGCCTTGCGAAAGTATGCATACCCCTTCATTTTGTTCACGTTTTATGTTTCTGCCTTATGTTAAACTGCTTAAATGTACTTTTTTCCCACATCAATCTACACTCCATACACCATATTGACAAAGCAAAAACAGAATTGTCACAACTTCGTGAATTAATTAAAAATAAAAAAACTGAAATAAGTACATTGCATAAGTACTCATACCCTTAACTAAATATTTAGCTGAAGCACCTTTACAGCCTCAAGTCTTTTTTGTTTGATGCGACAAGCTTTGCTTATCAGCATTTGGCAATTATCTGCCATTCTTCTCTTCACCTCTCAAGCTCTGTCAGGTTGGATGGGGCAGATGCACATTTTCAGGTTTCTCCAGAAATATTTGATTGAGTTCAAGCTCAGGCTCTGGCTGGGCCACTCGGGGACATTCACACAGTTGTCTATAATTGACTCTTGCTGTTTGCTTGGGGGCATTGTCCTGTTGGAAGGTAAACCTTCTGCCCAGTCTGAGGTTCTGAGTGCTCTGGCCTGGGTTTTCATTAAGGCTATCTCAATATTTTTGTGCATTGAGCTTTTCTTCTACTCTGACGAGTTCCTCAGTCCTTGCCGCTGAAAAACAGCCCCACAGCATGAGGCTGCTACCAGCACACTTTATTTTTTGGTATGGTACTCTGCAGGTGATGAGCAGAGCTGGTTTCCTTCAAACATGATGCTTGGACTTGAGGTTCATCAGACCAGAGAATATTATTTCTCACAGTCTGAGGGTCCTTTAGTTGCTTTTTTGAAAATTCTAAGTGTGTTTTCATGTGTCTTCACTGAGAAGAGGATTGAGTCTTGCCACACCGCCATAAAGCCCAAATCGATGGAGTGTTGCAGTGGTGTTTGTCCTTCTGTAGGTTTTTCCCATCTCCACATATGATCATGGAGCTCAACTAGAGTTACCATCAGGTTCTTGGTCACCACACCAACCAAAACCTTTCTCCATAAGTTGCTCAGTTTGGCCAGCTCTAGGAAGAGTCCTGGTTGTTTCAAACATCTTCCATTAAGGGTAACAGAGACTACATGCTTCTGTGAACTTTCAATGAAGCAGAATTTTTTTCCATCTCCTCCCCAGATGTGTGGCTTGACGCAATCCTGTCTCTGAGCTCTACAGGCAGTTCTTCTGACCTCTCCTGGTTTTTGCTCTGATATGCATTATCAGCTGTTAGACCTTTTATTAAGATGTGTGTGCCTTTCCAGATCATATCATTTCAATTGAATTTGCCACAGGTTAACTTCACTCGATGTGTAGTAACATCTACAAGCAATATGAATGCTCCTGAGCTAAATTTTAACTGTCCCAGATGAATACTTGAATACTTACGCAATGGAATAATTTAAGTTTTTTTTTATATATAAATTTGCGAAGATGTTAAAAACCTGTTTTTTGCTCTACCATTATGGTGTATGGAGTATAGATCGATGTGGAAAAAAAGTAATTTAAAGCAGTTTAGCATAAGGCAGCAATATAACAAAAACGTGAAAAAAAATGAGGGGGTATGAATACGAATATGAATATGATTAGAGTTTATTGTGGGAAGTTCATGCAGGATGTTCTTTTGTTCATCAGAGCATAGAGACCTTATTTTAAATGTTGAACTGTTTCTAACTTAACATGATCTCAATACAACACTGGATGATTACAAAGACAATATTTACAAATTTATGCAGACTAAATCCTTTAAATAGGTAATTGCATAAATCATTGCTTAATTTTCTCAGTCCTCCCCCAAAAACAGAGATTACTGATGTAATGCATAATTTATTAGTTTAAAGGGAACATTGCTTATTGCAGATGACTTGAAAGATGACAGTAATAGTTATAATTTGTACATTTGTTCAAACAAAGGTTTAATGGCTGTTGTTCTTTTTTTTTTTTTTAAAGGGATGAAAAACACTGCATACTAAAAGCCTTTTTGAGATAGTGACCTATAGAAGAACCGCATCTATTTGAAATAAAAATCTTTTGTAACAACGTAAAAGTCATTACTGTCAGTTTAATGCTAAATAAATATTCATTTCTTAAAAACAAAAAAACCTCAAACCTTCATGTAATTGCTGATCTGATATCGTTAATGGCTGTTGTTCTTTTTTTTTTTTTTAAAGGGATGAAAAACACTGCATACTAAAAGCCTTTTTGAGATAGTGACCTATAGAAGAACCGCATCTATTTGAAATAAAAATCTTTTGTAACAACGTAAAAGTCATTACTGTCAGTTTAATGCTAAATAAATATTAATTTCTTAAAAACAAAAAAAACCTCAAACCTTCATGTAATTGCTGATCTGATATCGCACAGGGCTATGCACCACCTCCTAAGAATGGTGTGGAGCAAAAAAGACCCGGCAGACCGCTGAACATCACGTCGCTGGTCAGGTTGTCATCCGCTGTACCCAATCAGATAGTAGTCACGTGGGCACCTGAAATAGGAAAGGTATGTGAAGTCCTGTTATACCTGTTACTTCATCCATTCAGATTTTAACATTGCTTTAGACTTTTCTATATACTAAGCATTTGTATGTACTTCTTGTTTTCTTCAGACATACTCCATGTCAGTTTACTTGGTGCGGCAGCTGACCTCTCCACTGTTGCTACAGAGATTAAGAATGAAGGGGATCAGAAACCCTGACCATTCCAGAGCTTTAAGTAAGGCAACACTTCCCTCTTTGATAAAGGAGGAAAAAAAGATACTCATGACATCTTAATTGTAAATATGAATATGATTTTTTGTTGTTGTCGTTTACTAAATCCACCCTCTCTTCACTATTGTAACAGTTAAAGAAAAACTCACGGCAGACCCTGACAGTGAAATCGCCACAACAAGTTTACGAGTCTCACTCATGTGCCCTGTAAGTTACAGCTGACTCATAAATGTCAGTTTAAATAACAGTTTTTGTTTAGTGTGCTGATGTAATATGGTAAGAAAATATATTTTTGTCTGACCCCCCCCCCCCACCCCCCCCCCCCCACCCACCCCCCCACCCC